AAGAGCTTGGCACCATGCCTGGCACACAGTAAACAGTCAATTAATGGAAGTTAATCTTCTTTTACTCAGATCAACTTAGTCATTCAATAAATAGTCATTGTTGGCTTACTATGTCCAAGCACTGAGGACATTGTTGATCAAAATAGCTCTAATCCCTACCCTTACTGAGTTTCTACAGTAGCCTATTTTTTTAAAAACATTTTATTAGGGAACTGGGGGAGGGGAACATTGTTGGGGAATTGGGAAGGGGAACAGACAAGTTGCTGTCCTTTTGTTCTTCAGTCTAGTTGTGGAGGACATTGCTTCACTGGCCCATGTTGGTATTATAATCAGTGCACTCTTCCTGGGTGAGGCAGTCACTTGCTGGCCATTGGACGGCCGCTCATGGCGGCTCACGGCAGCTCACGGCAGCTCTCGCTGGCTGCTGGCCACTCACGGTAGCTCACGGCAGCCCACTGCAGCCTATGCCATCACTGGCCACTTACAGCAACCCAGCTCCAGGTCGAGCTGTTGTTCACAATCTTAGCTGTAGAGGGCACAGCTTATTGGCACATGTGGAAATCGAACCGGCAGCCCCGCTCTTCAGAGCTCACGCTCTTACCAACTGAGCCACTCGGATGGCCCCCTAGTCTATTTCTTTTTAATCTTCACATTCTACAGCTTATAAGTTCAGGAATAGGACATGAGGAAAAAGACCAACCTAGGTGCCTCTCCTTTAATTGTAGCCTCTACAAAACCCCCTAGTATCTTTCTTCTTTTGCTCATGCTACAATCCTTCCTGGACGCCCTTTCTTCTCTGCCTGTTGAAATTTACCCTTCCTTCAAGGCCCAGCTCAAGAATTCCCTTTCCTTGATTCTCCCAACACTCACCCTTGTATTCCTTTGTCCATCCCCAGAGCACTTACAGCTTTGTTCTTGCACCACAGCAGTCAACCACTTATTTGTTCATGCTAATGTCAACATATTCTCAAAAAGTTAAATAACATAACACACACAACTATATAGGGAGCATGTGTCAAAGATTTAAGTAACTCATTACTAAAAGACCCAGAAGAATGACAACTGGTCTAAAAGAGGGTATGAGAAGCTGACGTATCTATTGTCAGTGAAAGAAAAAAAATGCTGTAATAAAATTGCTGTTAGACCCAAAGTGGTTGCTGTTCTACAGGGCAATAAATCTATCACCTTTGTGGATATCTTCTTGATTGGACAGAAATCACTTACATATTTGCCAGGCAAAAATAATTTGCACCTTTTCAGTGTTTTATTGACGAATCTTGAACTTCACAGTCTGGCCTCTAAACAATGGTAAATAGTAAATTAAACATAGTCACATTTGCCAGGAGAACCAGATGACCCTAAAAGGGCTTATTCAATAGAGCTCTTGTGTGACTTTGAAAGGATACATGGTCATCTTTTTACCTTCTTTCAATTTTTGGAAAAATTTTAAAAACACTAGTCTCTATGGTTGCACATACATTGGAAAGATAACAGTGAAAAGATAACTGGCTTTGGAGTCAGAAAGACCTGGGTTCAAGTTCTGACTCTTCATTTAGCCTCTGTGAGCCTCAGTTTCCTCAAAGAGTTGTTGCAAAGACACATGAATAGGTTTAGAAAGTGCTAGAATGCAGTAGGTTCCCAATAAATTGTTCTTCCTCTCTTCTTTTGAGGACAGAGACCATGTTTTGTATTTCTTGTGTTCTCCCCTCACCCCCACCCTAGCCAGGTTTTAGTAGAATGACTGAACTCTGTGTAGTAGTTTTCAGTAAATCTTCTCTGGTTATTTTCTATATGTCTTGTCTGTGACTTAGGTAGGTTCCTTCCCTTCACCTGGCCTCAATGTATCCATTGATAAAAATGAGAAGATTCAGTGGTTGTTAGGTAGCACTAGTACTGGGGGAGGTTTTGGAAATGGGGGAGGGATGTGTGGCAATTGGGATTTTTATAGTAACTCGAGAGCACTATACTGACATTTGATGTCCAGGATCCAGGGATGATAACCATTCTGCAGTGCCCCACAAGGTGGAACTGTTTCATTCAACACATCAGTAGCACCCCCATTGGGAAACATTGAATGATCTCTGTAGGGCTTTGCAAATTGCTCCTTCAGACAACAAATGGATGCTTCTCTGGTGTTTGTTTGTTTTTTTCAAAGGATGAAAGATACACAGCTACACTACAAAGGTGCATTTTGCTTAACTAAAAGTATATTTTGTTACCCAACATTTTAGCAATTCCCCAGATTATTCCTTGTTTGAAATGTAGCCTCATTTTGTTGACATGTTCTTATCGGAAGAATAATTCTTGCTTGATGCTGCTGTTAGCCACACTGAGCTGATCTATTTTCTGGGGAAAGAGATTGCTCCAGGAAACCCTTATTGGGAACCAGCTAGTCTTTGCTGAGCCCCCAGGCTCAGTGCAACAAATAGCGGGGAAGTTGAAAACAAGGCCCTGCCATCAGGAGGGAAAAAAACAATCCTACGACACAAGTAACCCTAGAATTCCAGGGAAAGCTTGAGGCCTGCTAGTTGCATTCTGGGTGAGTGCCTTTTGCAAAAACCTCTCTTCTCTTTATTCTTGTGCTCATGGCCTTGCATCAGCCATGGTGTCTTGATATCTCCCCCCACTGGACACTGGGCTCCACAGGGAAGAAACTGGGTCCCACGATTCTCTGTTTTCTCCCAGTCTTAGCATGCACCAGTCATTAAATTTATACCCTTTAAAAACCAAATCTAGTTTTCTTATCAATTCACCCTTTGCCTGGCATCCTGAAAAGAAGTCAGTCTTTTGAGCCAAGGAACCAAATACTTTTTCTTCTGGAAAAGCAAAGTGTTCATAAGACCACTGAGATTCTTTTAAAAAACTAGCAAAGGGGGCCGGCCAAGTAGGTCAGTTGGTTAAGAGCACGAACTCTGAGCAACAGGGTCACCAGTTCAATTCCCACATGGGCCACTGAACTGCACCAGAGCTGAGCTGTGGCTGAGCTGCCAACAGGTGGCAGGATGGCTCAGCTGGTAAGAGCACATGCTCCTAACAAGGTTGCCAGTTCAACTCCCACATGGGATGGTGGGCTACACTCACCAGCAACTAAGACTGAACATGGCACCTTGAGCTGAGTGGCCGTGAGCTGCCGCTGGGCAGCAGAATGGCAACTTGACTTGGAGGTGAGCTAGCTGCACCCTCCACAACTAAGACTGAAGAACAACAACTTGGCTGGTCCCCTTCTCCAATTCCCCAACACTGTTCCCCTCCCCCAATTCCCCAATTTAATAAAAAAAATTTAAAAAAAAAGAATTAACTCCTATTCTCCTCAAACTAGTCCTAAAAATCCAAGAAGAGGGAAGGCTCCCAAGCTCATTTTATGAAGCCACCATTACCCTGATTAGAAAACCCGACAAAGACATTACAAAAATAGAAAACTATAGGCAGATATCCCCAATACACACAGATGTAAAAATTCTCAACAAAATATTAGCAAGCCAAATTCAGCAATACATTATATACTACAATCAAGTAGGATTCATTCCTGGTATGCAAGGTTGCTTCAATATCCACAAATCAGTTAATGTGATCCATGTGCAAAAGAATGACATTAGACCCTTATCTCTGACACATTAAAAAAAATTAAGTTAAAATGGATGATAGCCCTAAAAGAGCTAAAGCATAAAAGTCTTAGAAGAAAATATACAAATCTTCATGAACTTGAGTTACATCAAAGGACAAACAGTAAAAGAAAAATAGATAAACTGGGCTAATCAAAATTAAAAACATTTTGTGCTTCAAAGGACATCAAGAAGTGAAAAAAATCCATAGAATGGGAGAAAATATTTGCAAATTGTATACATATATCTAGTATCCAGAACATATAAAGAACTCTTACAGCTCAACAACAAAAAGACAAATAACCTAATTTAAATTGGGCAAAGAATCTGAATAGACATGTCTCCAGAGAAAATATGTATATATATATATATATATATATATATATATATATATTTATATATATATTTATATTTATATATGTATACATGACTCACAGGGAAAAACAAGTACTGATGAGGATGTATAAAAATAAGAACCCTCATATGTTGCTGGTGGGCTTGGTGCAGCTGCTTTGAAAGGAGTCTGGCTTTCCTGAAAAAGTTAAACATAGAGTTAACATATGACTGAACAATTTCACTCCCACGTATATATACCCAAGAGAACTGAAAACATGTCCATACAAAAATTTATAGCATAAACGTTTATAGCAGCATTATTCACAATAACCAAAAAGCAGAAACAATCCAAATGCCCATCAATTGATGAATGGATAACAAAATGTGGTTTATCCACACAATGAAAGTTTATTTAGCCATATAAGGGAAATGAAGTACTGACACATGCTGCAAATGAATGAACTCTGAGAACATTATGCTAAATGAAAGAAGCCAGACACAAAAGGCCACATATTCTGTGATTTCATTAATATGAAAAGCCCAGAATAGGCAGATCCACAGAAAGAGAAAGCAGGTGAGTGGTTGACAGGGCCGCAGGGAGAGGGTCGATGGGAAGTTAGCGCTAATGGGCAGGGGTTTTCTTAGTGAGATGATGAAAATGTTCTGATATTAGATAGTGGCTATGGTGACTCTGTGACTTTTCTAAAAACCACTGAATTGTACACTTTAAAAGAGTAAGTTATGCATATATGAAATTTATCTCAAAAGAGCTATTAGTTTTTAAAATTCCATTGAGATTTTAATTTACAAACATAAATTTGAAACAAGTTGGCATCATTTACTTATTTTTCCAATCATATTTCTTCATTTATTATAATATTCTATGTTCTTTAGAAAATGTTTTATCCTATAATCACCTCTTGGATTTTTTTTTTAAGCTGAGCCATCCTGCCACCTGTTGGCAGCTCAGCGGCTGCTCAGCTCAGGCCGGGAATTGAACCGCTGTTTCTCAGAGCTCAAACTCTTGAGCGAGCTCTTAACCAACTGAGCCACTCAGCCGGCCCAAAGTTTTTTATTTTTAGAATTTTTGTCAAGATTGTGGCTCACTTTTTCCATTTTATTTTCGATTTCTTCTATTTAAGAAAGCTTTTAACTTGTGTATTGTTGACATATATATGTATATAATTTCCATCTTAGTAGTTCTACTAGTTAGATTTTCTATTTATGAAACATATCATACAAAATGATGTCAGTTTTTTTCTCTTCCTTTCAAATATTACTGGTTCATTTTTTCTCTTATTGAATTATCTGGGACCTTAGGTACAATGTTGACTAATAGTGGTAACATTAAACATCATTTGTCTCATTCCTGTCTCTGGTAAGAATGCCTCTATTTATTCACTGTATTTACTGTAGGTTTCTGGTAAATATCCTTTATCAATTTAAGGAACTTTCATTCTATTACTAACTTTAAAAAAACAAAACACTAACACCTATAGCATTTTACCAAATACTTTTACAGCATGAAGATATATTCTTCCTTAATTAATGTACATTTATACTTTTGAAGTAGCCTGAAAATCATGATAAATCTGAATACTAATTTTACTAAACTGATACATTTGATATGTTAATGACCTAATTAAACATTTTAACTTCCTTTTTATCTGTATTTATATTCCTTTTCTTACTCCTGGATATTGTGTTTGCTCTTTTTTTCCCATTGACCTACTTGCAAGAACTTTGTCTATTGGCTTATCAAATGTACTCTTTGCACCTATTTCAATAATGTGTGCTTTTATCTTTATTAATGCATTCCTTTTATTTTCTTTTGGTTAATATTATTATTCTGTTTCCTATCTTTTTTAGTTGAATGATTAATTTATGTTCTAGCTTTATTATTTTCTAATAACTGCATTTTTTTTGTTTGGATTTATTCTTTAACCCGAAAACTACTTACAAAATTATTTTTTATTTTCTAAATAATTTTGTGGTGCTATTTTTAGTTGTTCATTTCTACTGTTACCTCATCATGGTAAAGATATAACAGGGAGGGCTTGACTATTTTCCTCTAGGAAAATAAGTTGAGGTTTTCTTTATAGCCATCTGTAGTCCATTTTAAAAAATGTTCTATGAATATTAGGAAATAATGCATATTATATATGTGTTTATGGCTATTAATCAAATTTGTCAATTTTAAAAATTCAAAGCCTCTATAAAAATGTTTCCTTAACATTGATAAATAACATGGGAATTACTAAAAAGATAAAGATTATGTACACAGTAATTTCATCATCCAGCTAAAACATTTGTGTACCTGAAAAGGATTTTATAAGCAAACATATGCATTTGGAATAAATTATCTCTGAAAATAATTTTCTAAATATATATCAAAAAGCAAACTTCAGTTTTGGAGATGAATAGTTTCACTGTAAGTCTTTCTCTCAATGATAACACATTTTTCAGATTAATTACAAGAACAGTGTTTCTTCTCAGCACAAACATTGTAATATTGAATGAATGAGTATTCTGCCTAAAGTTTTTCTTGCATAACAATCCTAGGGTTTCTTGCCACTGTGTGAGTGCTCAGGTGTAAGTGATGACCTATGGCTACAGGTTTCCCCACATTCATTACTTTGATAGGATTTCATTTTTTAAATGAGTTCTCTGATGTTGAATTAAAGATGTACTATGACAAAAAACATCACCACATTGATTACATTGATAAGGTTTCTTCCCAGTATGTGTTTGCTTATGTTTAGTAAGGGCTGATCTTAAACTGAAGGCTTTCCCACATTCATTACATTGGTAGTGTTTCTCTCCTGTATGAGTTCTCTGATGTCGAATTAGTGATGTTCTATAGCAAAATAGTTTTTGACATTCATTACATCGATAGGGTTTCTCACCAGAATGAACTTTCAGATGTTCAGTAAGGTGTGTACTTCGGCTGAAAGTTTTTCCACATTCCTTACAGACATAAGGTTTCTCTCCAGTATGAGTTCTCTGGTGTTGTACAAGATGTGCACTCCGGTTGAAGGCCTTTCCACATTCATTACACTCGTAGGGTTTCTCTCCAGTGTGAATCCTCTGATGTTGGATGAAGGCTGGGGTATGGCTGAAGGCTTTCCCACATTCATTACATTCATAGGGCTTTTCTCCTGTGTGAGTTCTCTGATGTCGAATTAGTGATGTGCTGTGGCAAAAAACTTTCTGACATTCCTTACACTGGTAGGATTTCTCCCCAGAATGAATTCCCCGATGCTCAATGAGATGTGTGCTCCGGCTGAAAGTTTTCCCACATTCAATACATGTATATGGTTTCTTTCCAGTATGAATTCTGTGATGTTGAGTAAGGGCAGAAATATGGCTGAAAGCTTTCCCACACTCATTACAAGGATAGGGTTTTTCTCCAGTATGAATTCTCTCATGATTTCGAAGGGAGGACCTATGACTAAAGGTTTTTTCACATTCATTACATTCATAAGGTTTCTCCCCAGTATGGACTCTTTGATGTTGAATTAGGTTAGTGCTCTGACTAAAAGCTTTTCCACATTCATTACATCCATAAGGTTTATCTCCAGTGTGCATTCTTTGATGTTGAGTAAGATTAGCGTTCCGGCTGAAGGTTTTTCCACAAAGCTTACATTCATGTTTCTCTCTCATACAAATTTTCTCAGATTCCATTACTACTGAACTATGGCTTTACATTTAAATTATTTCTACAATAAATAAGGTTTTAGATATAAATGCATCCTTTCTTATATCTAATAAATTACTTTTGATTTATATAAAACAATTTTTTAATCAATTGAAGCAGACTTATACTTTAAGCTCCTACCATCTGTATCATAATTACAAGGTCTTCATGTTCTACAAACTATCAGTTGTTTAAAAAGGTTTGAGCTCAGATTAAATATTGCCCCCAAATTATTATGCTTATGATCTTTCTCTTAAATTGAATTTCCTTGTAATTTTGTTTTACTGGTGTTTCTCAAACTGGTTATCAAATTCCAGTTCTTCTAATACGAAGTTTTAGAAACCATCACTTGAAAAATTTTTAACATGCCATGACACTTGTTTTTCAGGAGCTTTCTGCTTTGGAGTTGATACTCTGACTTTGGATATAGTATCTGGAATTAAGTGGTAGACAGTATCTCTTCCCTCTGGAATACAAAAGAGGAAAACAAAATTTGCTCATCAATTACAGAAAAAAATAATAAAAATAAACAGAAAAAAATAAAAATAAGCCAGTGTTATGATAAAATTAAACATTAGACAGTATAGTTCCTGACTAATATGGAAATTTAAAGAAAAAAATAATTAATATAGAGAGGCATGGAAAAAAGAAATAACACCACTGAGACAAAATTTATAGTATAATTAAAGGTAAGTACATGACGTGACAAAAGTCAATGACACTAATTCAGATGTAAGTCTTTGGAAAGCAGAGATAAAAAATTAGAAAAAAATGAAATGGGATTGGATAATAAAAACTCTGACAATTAAACAGAGATATTCAATGTCATGTAGTAGGAGGTAGGAAAATTAAAGTTTTCTGTCATAGTAGTAACATGATAAACATATGATATTTGAGATGAAGATACTTGTCAAATTCATCTAAAATGGATAATGAGAGAATAAAGTTATCAAACTCAGCAAGAAATAGTAATATAAATAAAGGCCTGGATTGGGAATCCTAGTTAAGAATTTAGTACAGAAGTAAATGTAAAACATAAAAAGGAAGGAAGAAACAAAAAAATATGGACATTGACTATGAAGAATTTTTACAAAATGGAATTCATAAAAATGCAATGGTTTCTAATAAAAAAGGCTGGAGCTAATAGTGGTCCTAATAGAAGAACTAATTAGTGGTACTAATGACAAAAATATTGAAGAAGGACAAAGAGGTTATTTAGGGAGAGTTGATTTCATTTTTCACTATATTGAATTTGAGGTAATCTAAAGTGAAGTGGGACATTCAAGTGGAAATAGACTGTAAGCTGGAGAAACTTTGGGGACAGAATGCAAATGAGATATATGGGCTGAAAACATGTATCAGGTAATTAATTACATAAAAGGACTATTTGAAGATATCGGAACATGTGGATTGAGTTTTGCTTTTCTAAAAGTGGAAAATATACCTTAAAAGTACATGTATTTGTGTTAGGAAGGAAGTGAAGTTAATAAAAAAGTATTTGGAAAGAAATTAGAACAGAAAATAATCTAGTGATGTCACACAAGCAAAGACAAAATATTAAGTACAGCAGAAAGTTGGACTACAGAAAGCACTAAAGAACAGGTTGCTATCAAGAAAGAATTCAGTATTCGGGAGTCTCTTCAAAATAATTTTAGGGCCGGCCAAGTGGTGCGATGGTTAAAAGCTGGCTTGGGACGCCAGAGGGCTCCGGTTTGGATCCCACATGTGAGGGCCAGTGACACTGCCCTCTGCAGCTGAGATGCTGAACAACAGCTCAACCTGGAGCTGGGCTGCTGTGAGTTGCCGGCGACG